CCCCCCCCCCCCCCGTTGGGGATCTAACCTAGGGGGGCGGGACTATCTGAACCTTAACAGAACCCAGGATGTTGTACTTGCCAGGCAAATACTTAACCACTGAGCTACATCCCCAGATTCTAGGTGCTTTTTAAATAATTGGTATATCATAATCTCCCACCTTGCCTATGTAGTTTAGCAATAAAACAGACCAAATTAACTCAGTGTTAAATATTATTTTCATAAACATTTAGTGTGTTTTAATTGATATAATGAACATAATTATTTCTTTTTGTTGGGGGATTATATATTTTTTTTTTTTTTCCTCCCTACCAGTGGCAGCAATGTTCCTAGGAATGGACTTACCAGGACTGAATCTTCCCAATCCACAGAAAACCTATGCAATGATGGGGTTTGTGGTCTGGCACATTGGGACTGAGGTCCTTCTGGAGATACATGCTTACCGACTCTCTCGGAAAGGTAACCCATTTGAAAAGTCATATTAGGGGGATGGAGAGATGGCATAGGGTAAGAGTGGTTTCCTGTGCAGGCATGAGGACTGGAGTTCAAATCCCCAGCACCCAAGTAAAAAGCCAGATAGAATCATGTGTGCCTGAAATCCCATTGCTGTGATGGAGTGGAGACAGGAGGAATGTTGGAATTTGGTGGTCGCCAGCCTCACTCCAGGTTTTGTGAGAGACCTTGTCTTGAGGGAACAAGGCAGAATATATGTAGCAGGTCATTCCATATCTTCTTTTGATCTCTGTGCACACACAAACACATGTGTACCCTCTCCCCTGCAAAAGTTAAATTATGTAGAATCACTTTTATACAAGCCACTGGAATGTGATTAGTTCCCTGGTTACAGCCTGGTAGCTTGTTAACAATTTCTCTTGTGATCACTCAACCAATGGTGGAAATTTTGGTATTTCCTGCCTCCGTCTCTTTGTAAACATCGATATTAGGATTTGAAGTGAAATATAAGGGAAGGATTTTCAATTTTGGTGGAGAAATCTTTGTAGGTACTTCTCTGAATCTGACCTGGAACCAGCATACTCTGGTAACTTAGGATGCCTGGAACTGAGGGCATTCTGAAATGAAGAAGAGACCCAGAGTTCACACAGGGCAGACCTGCACAGAGCTATTGCCTATTTGACACACTGCATGCTGTTGCTTAAGTTGCCAGGTATACAAATACATAGCTGGAGAGAACTGATTTTGCCTCTGTTCTTTAGGGGCAAGGTCTGGTTTGGTATTAGTGCCAGGCAGGGTCAACATATCTATGGCCACTGCTGGGTGGGGAATTTGGTAGAGAAAGCAGAGCATTTTGGGCTAGCTTGCATTCCAGGGTAAGTGTCCTCTGTGTCCTGTCTAGTTCTCACTTCTGTGGTGGTTTGAATGTGAAATGTCTACCGTAGGCATATGTGTTTGAACATCACCTCATGTCCCTCTTTCGGAGAGTGGTGGAATTTTTAGGAGGTGGGACTGGACTGGAGGAAGTAGATGACTAGGGTCAGTATTGAGGTTTTTTTTTTTTGAGACAGGGTCTCACCACGTAGCCCTGACTAGCCTGGAACTCACAGACATTCACAGTGCTGGGATTAAAGGTGTGTGCCACCACGCCCAGCAGGTCCTTGAGGTTTTATAGAGCCTGACCCTACTTTCTGATTGTGGCTGCAGCCTATCCTGCTCTTGCTGCCTTACCTTTCTCACTGTGGTGGACTGTATCCCTGAACTGCGAGCCAAAACAAACGTCCTTAGGTTGCTTTTGTCAGGTGTTTTTGCTATAGAATTGGGAAAAGAAACTAATATAAGCCCTAAAAATAGTGATCTAAAAACAAATACTTTGGATTGGAGGTTAAGAGCACCGACTGTTCTTTCAGAGGACCCAGGTTCTGTTCCCAGCACCCACGTGGCAGCTAACAAATGTCTTTAATTCCAGTTCCAGGAAATTCAATGCCCTCTTCTCCCTTCCATGGGCATTGCATGCACATGGTACACTTACATGTATGCAGGCAAAATACTCACACATTTAAAAAATAAAATAAATAGCCAGGCATGGTGGCGCATGCCTTTAATCCCAGCACTTGGGAGGCAGAGGCAGGAAGAGCTCTGTGAGTTCAAGGCCAGCCTGGTCTACAGAGTGAGTTCCAGGGCAGCGGGGGCTACAGGGAGACCCTGTCTCAAAAAGACAAAAAAAAAAAAAAAAAGATTAAAAAATACAACAAAACAAAAAATTTGTTGTCTATTGTTATATGCTCTGACTCTAGGAGCCTGGGTAGCTTTTATGAGCCAAATGGTAAATATCTGTCCTGCCATTTTGGTGCTGTTTTATTTATATGTGTGGCTTAGGATGGCCTTGAACTTGAGTTTTTATGTCTTAGCCTCTCAAGTGCCAGGATTGCAGGCATATGCCACCATACCCGGCTTACTTTTGGGGGACCTGAATTTGGATTCCCAGAACCCACATAAAAAGCTGGTGTGGTGATGTACACTTGTAATGCCAGCACTGTAAGATGGGAGGCAGAGACAGAGGATATCAAAGCTTGCAGGCCAGTAGCCTGGACTACAGGGTGAAATCTCAGACCAATGAGAGACCCTGTTTCAAACAAGAGGTGCCTGAGGGAGGACACCTGAGGTTGTCCTCTGAAATGCACATATGCACCTGTTCCCATGGGTGTGTGCATGGTTCAGAAACTTTGCAACACTTAGCGGCTTGAAAGGGAAGAGCTTACATCCTAGAAACTGGGAACACTAGAACTCAGGGTTTATTTTTTAAAATATTTATTTATTTTAAAAATTTTATATGTATGAGTGTATTGCCTGTGTGAATGTAAGTGCACCACATGGGTGCAGTGTCTGCAGAGCCCAGAAGAGGGTCTTGGATAGCCTGGAACTGGAGTTATTAGCCAGAGACTACAGACCACTGCTTACTGGCTTGCTCCTCTGGCCTGTGCCCAGCCTGTTTGCTTTCGCCCCCCACCAAACTTGTATTTGTTTTTGAGACAGGGCCTTTCTGTAGCCCCAGCTGGCTTGCAGCTCACCATGTAGACCAGATTGGTCTTGAGCTCACAGAGATCCACCAGCCTCTGCCTCCTGAGTGCTGGGTTCAAAGACTTGTACTACCACATCTGGCAGGTTTTATCTTATTAATCTTTGGGAAAGTTAGTTTGCGTACATTTCACTATCCTGATAAACTTATGTTGTTCTTAACAGTTGAAATACTGGACGATGACAGAATTCAGATCCTTCATTCACTTAGTGTTGCTGAAGCAGAAGTGAGTCTTTTCTTATTTATTGATACAAACTTTGATGGTGGTTCTTTCTTTTACAACTTAGTTTTTCTTTCAGGGTCATGTTTTCAAGAAGGTGGTGTTGACAGTTTATATCTGTGGGAATGTGATTTTCCTCATCATGTTCTTGTCTGCAATCAACCATGTGTGATCAAGTGAAGACCTAGGTTTTATGGCCCTGCTCATAATTACCATGAAGACAAGGAATCTCGAAGCTTGTCCTGACTGTCTGGAGCATGTTTTAACTGGGGAGACTCCTGGACATCTTTGTAGAGGAATTCTAGAATCTGGTCTGATCAAATTAAGAGGGTCATACAGACAACTTGCTAAGCTTTCTATGTAATTCTGCATCTTGAGGGAAATGTACTTGAGGTGAAATGACTCTATTTCATGCCAGATTTAAGATAGTAAACTAGAATGGTTAACCAACAAAACAAAACAGAGCAAAACAAAACAAAACAACCCCCCCAAAACTAAAAACCCCGTGTCCTCAGAATAAAGGAGGGCATTGTAAAATCATATAAAAAAGGAGATAGCATGCATATAGATATATGAATGAGACAGGCTCTCATATAGTGCAAGCAGGCTTCCAATTCACTATGTAGCCTTGAACCTTGAATCTTCTTGCCTCCACTCCTGGGTGCTGGGATTATAGGCATGTACTAATATGTCTGGTTTTAAGGTGAATATAATTTCGATGACAATGCTGCTGTAGTACATTAACAAATACATTTATTTTTTACTAGTTTACATAAATGGTCTTGAACTTGAAAAAATTTTTTCTTATATTTTATTGTGTGTGAGTACACACATACACACACACACACACACACACACACACACACACACACCATGGTGCTTCTGTGAAGGTCAGAGGGCAACTTGGGCGAATCAATTCTCTCTTTCCACCGTGTGGGGCTTGGGGATCTAACTCAGGCCCTCAGGCTTGGTGGCAAGTGCTTTTATCTGCTGAGCCATCTTGCTGGCCCTTTGGAGTTTTTGAGAGAAAAAGTAAGTTTTCAGGACTGGGTGTGCAGCTCATGTTAGGCTCTTTTTCAATACAGCTGAGCCGTGAGTTTGATCCCTAACGCTGAACAAAGAAGCATGTTTCTAGTCTATTTGGGGGACTTTTATTTTTGGCTCTGTGTGTTTCAGCGTTTCTCTGGTTAAGGGTAAAAGTGGGGTGGACTGACTGACTAGTATGTTTCATTCACATTTAATTAGATTCTGAACATTATATTCTTCGTTAGTAATGGAATGCAAGTAGATGTCTTAGAAATCACATTTGTTCGATTACGGAGTAGAAAGGGAATTGTATGTCAGGTGTTTCCGCTGTGAGACTTGACCTCAGCATTTAGAGAGCAGAATTGAATTCCAGATTTCATAAAACTCACATATACAGCAAGCTTTCCCTTCCCTTATGACAATAAAACAATGTGGACGTGGTTTCTTTGTCAGACATCCTGTGCACTAATGAATCAGCACAGGCGCTGTTACTTCCCTTATCCCTGCAGTCATTTCTATCTGATGGCCAGGTCACATATTTGCTATGACGGCTTACCACCAGTGGGTGGCACTGGAACACTGAAGTACTCACATGCTCTTGTCTCCTTGTTTGTTTCTTTTTCGTTATAACATGGAGTGCTACTTTCCTTACATTATACCAGATCTTCTTAATCTTTCTTTAAAAAAACTTCATTTTCCTTTTGGACTGAAGTAATAGATGCTAGACACTTAAATTAGGGACTAGTGTTATTTTCTGGTTTAATATTTGTTTGATTATTTATAACAACCTTGTGATGTTTCCTTTTATTTTCATTCCCCTGACCCTGTAGCAAATGAAGATTATTATCTTAGGCAAAGCAAACAAGAAAAGTTGTACATTTGAAAAATAAAATAATGAGCATGGTGGTGCATGCCTTAAGTCCCAGCACCGGGGAGGCAGAGGCTGGCGGATCTCTGTGACACTGAGGCCTGCTTGGTCTACATCTGAGTTCCAGGCCAGCTGGGGTTATAGGGAGACCGAGTCTCAAAACAAACAAACAACAAAACAAAACCTCACAACAAAAATCAACCAACCAACCAACCAACAAAAAATAAAAATAAGTAAAAAGAAAAAGGTCTGGAGACGTTGCTCAGTGGTAAAACTCTTGCCTCGATTGTGTGAGGTCTCTGGTTCCCTCCCAGCTCTGGGGAAAAAAGTTGGCATAACAGTATATCTATATGAAAATATTTTCCTTCAGCTTTCCATTAAAAGTTGCTTGAAGGCTAATTAATTTCTCTTGATAAGTTATTTTCTATATCTGACAAGAAAACATTCTTGTAAGGGAAAAGTGGAATTTGCCTGAGTTTGGTTTCCAAAGAGCTTACTGGATTTCAAATGCTGAGTCCAATATTACAACATATTCTTCTCTTTTTTCTTTTTGAGACAGGGTATCATTATGTAGCCCTGGCTAGCCTAGAACTTGCTATGTAGACCAGGTGGTCCTCGCCGCCTGCTTCTGCTTCCTAGTTGCTGAGATTAAAGGCATCCCCTGCCACCACAATCGGCACCTAGTCTTTTTTGATTGATGTGCTGACTCTCTTTGGATCCTCCATTGACTGATATTCCAGTCTTGTCTAATGAAATCTTTGTTATTTAATCTTAGCATACCAATTATTTTTACTAGGACCAAATTATGATTCCTCTGCTTAGAGTGGTTGGTACCCACAGATCACCAACGCTGCTTTTCCTCTCCTCTTCGTTTTTCTTCTTGTTTCTATAATAAACAGGGTATTACTTCTTCTGATAAGAGTGATTGTTAAACCAAATGCTTTTCTATGTTTAGGAATGTTTTCAAAAACATTGAGAAAGATTATGTTTTCTTAAAGAAGGGACATTCTGTAAAATAAAGATCAATTTTTTTTTCACAAAATAAATCGTCTAGAAAATCGAGGTTAGGGTAACATTCATAACTGAGTCTGTTTCTGGTTTTATTAGTTTCTGGGCTGAGGAAATCAAACTAGGGCACAGGTGAGTTATTGGATACGTGAATCAAGTTCGTGTTAGTACGCACTGGGTTTGTAGGAGGATTTGGGACCTCGAAAAGTTCGTGTTAGTACTCACTGGGTTTGTGGGAGGATTTGGGACCTCGAAAAGTTCGTGTTAGTACTCACTGGGTTTGTGGGAGGAGTTGGGACTTCGAAGTGGTTAGGTGATATTTCATCTGTCCCGTATCCAGCCCCAGCCCCAAGGAGGCTCTGGGAAAGACAAACACAGCAGATGCCAACTAGGAAGCAGTGGGGCCTTGTAGCTCTTGGCTGAAATTCTGTTTGTCTATGTTCTCTGATGAGGTAAGGGGAAAAGAACAGAGGTCCTTGTTCAAGGTAATCCATTACTCATGGGAGTAAAAGACTCTTCTGAGTTCTTTGCAAAACATGGGTCAGAATCCTCATGGTTCCCATTTCCCGAGCCTTCCTTCCTTGTCTAACCCCTGCTGTGCTCATCCCTGTACCCCCAGCATCAGTGCTGTTCCACCTTGATTCCCATTCTGTTCTTGTCCCAGTCAAAGCCAGAGGATATACTTAAAGCTCAAGTTTTTTCCTCTTTCTGGAGCCTTCCACAACTTTGAACACCTCCATTCTTTCCTTGTCCTGATCACCTTTGTAAATGGTGGTGGCGTGGGAGGCCACTGTTATTGTAAATCAGAAAAGGATGGGGGCTGGGAGACCTGAGTAGCCATGTTTGCTTGTTGATTTTTTTTTTTTTTTTTTTTTTGAGATACAGGGCTCAGGGGAAAGTCACTTGTCTCCGTGAGCCCTCTGTCGTCTGCAGAGCCCCTTTCACTGGACATTTTCATGATAGAGAGGCACAATGCCAGCCAAAGATGCTTGCTTTGTGTGTGTTATTGGTAATGTTTTTCCATTTGATTGCAGTGTTAAACTTTAACGTTTTGCATATGAAATGTGTATTTTTTACCATAAGAATCTATGACACTCATTTGAAAACATTGTGCTAGATGAAATAGTCCAGATGTAAAAGGATAGCTATTGTATTAGTCTACTGTATATGGGACCTAGGATGGTCAAGTCTGTGGAGACTCAGAAGGATGATCAGTGGGATAGGGAACTGGTGGCTACGGGGAAGGGGAATGGGAGTTGTTATTTAATGAGTACAAAGTTTGTGTCTGGGAAGTGGGTAGTAATGACGATTGTACAATCCCCTGTGTTTAATGCACTGAACTCTACACTAAACATTGAAATGGGAATAAATAATTAAAACTGAAAAATATGTTCATAGAAGTAATATTTATAATATCTATAACATTCAAATTATGGGAACAGCCCATAGCCACTCATAGATGAATGAATTGTGGAATGTACACCTAGTTGAATATTAGTCATCCATAAAAAGGAATGAGGTACGTGCTGTAACATGGGTGAATCTCCAGAATACTATGCTAAGTGAAAGAACCTGAAGGCAAAGGTCACGTATCCTGTGATTTTGTGTATACAGAATATTTGGAACAGTGGACTCCATAGCAACTGAAAGCAGATCAGTGGTTGCCAGGGGATAGGTAGAGGCAGGGACCAAAAGAGGGGCGTATAGTGGGAGGCAATTACCTAATGGGTGTGAACTTTTATTTTGTAAATGTTTTGGAACTAGATAGAGGCCAGCAAATTGAATGCCAGCAAATTGCCCATTTTAAGATGTCTAAATTTTATTTAATTTGAATGTTATCTTGGTAAAAATAGTATTTGTTTATTTTTGCTCTGGGATTACATTTTTGGGTGAGAAAGCCCTGGGAGTCGTGCTGACCATAAACTTGGTATCAGTTTAATTTCTTACTTTGCTAAAGAAGTTAATGCAGTTGTATATGATGCTTGGTCTTAAAACTCTGATTTTGGGGTGAGGAAGATCTAACAGAATGCACTAAGAAACTTATTTTTTTTATTTGACAGCTGATTCACATATAAAGGAGATTATACTGTGCTCTGGTTATTTGTGAGAACCAAAATAACTTTTTAGATTTTCAGACACTGATAATGGCGATCAGAAAGAGTTTCCTGAAACTATGCATGCTTAATATCTGAATGTCCTCTGCCAGTAATGTCTGATAAGACCCTGCCGGGCTAGCCCCTGCCCCCAATGAAACTGCTGTAAACTTTTAAATTTAGCTACTGGAAGTTTCTAGAGTAGGAGCGGTCTGGTGAGGAGTCTGCACTCAGAGGAGAGTGGCTCCCAGCCAGTGTTGTCTTCTAGCTCTTTTACTACAAGACAGTGGCAGTCAGTGTGCTGCTGGGGGGTCGGGGACCCAGCAGAAAAACTTGCAGGTTTTCTGGGACAGAAACCTAGAGGGCCCATGGCTCAGGCAGCTGTAAACTCCCAGGGGTGGGGTGGGAAGATCCTGCAGAAAAATGCTGGGGGGAGGCCTCTACTTCTTGCTTGCTTGCATCTCTGATTGACTCCTGAATGCATACATGAAGCCCAATGAAAAGAATCAATACAAAGTTCCAGTAATTTTATAATTGGTGGTGAATGACTGAACATCTCTCCCCTATAATGTAGATAAGAGGGTCTGTCCCTCCACTTTGTATCAACAATGCAGTGCAGGATGAAGCCAAAACACAGGCAAGAAAAGCGAGAAGTAAAACTACCATTTCTTATGGACCTCACAATCTTCTGTATACACAATCTTAAGAGATCCACTGAACAGCGGTCATAGGTATCCATCCAGCAAGTGAGCAGGATACAAAGTCAGTACACAAAAATCAACAGCATCTCCAGACATCATCCATCAACAATCTGAAAATGAAGTCAGAAAAACATAATTTTGTTCAGAAGAGCATTAAAAAAGATTAAATTTAACAAAAGAAAAGCAAGATGGTACACTGAAAATTAGAAAGTATCTTTGAAAGAAATCAAAGATGAAGCTAATGAAATGGAAACAAATATATTTATGGATCAGAAAACATGTTATTAACATAGCAACATTTCCCAAGCTGATCTAGAGTCAACGCAATGATTGTCAAAACCCCCAACTGTTTTTATTTTTTCATAGAAATTGATAAACTGACCATAAACTTTATATAAATGAAAAGGACCCAGAAAAGCCAAAGCAATATAAAAGGAAAGAATTGGAGGACACACACCATCAAAACCTACAAAGCTATGGGCACCGTGTGGCATACTGGTTAGGTGAACAGAATGAGAGCTCAGAAGTAGGCCTTCACATTTATGATCGGTTCAGATGTTAGATGAAAACCAAAGACTGGCTTCCGATTAAGCATGGATATCTTAGACACAACATCAGTGGCATAAGAGATGAAAGAAGAAAAACACTGAAAATGAAAAATATCTGCTTCTAAAGGTATCAAAGATATAAAGACCAGTTGGGCAGGGCAACTCACACCTGTAATCCCAGCACTCGGGAGGCTGAGGCAGGAGGTTCGCTTTGAGTTCCAGGCTAGCATCGCCTAAATAATAAATTCTAGGCCAGGTCGGGAGCTACATAGTATGACACTATTTTAAAAAATAAGAATTAAGGGGCTGGAGAGGTGGCTCAGTGGTTAAGAACATTAGTTCTTGCAGAAGACCTGGATTTGAATCCTAGCACCCATATGGCAGCTAACAACTGTCCGTAACTCCAGTTCCAGGGGATCTGACAGCTTCTTCGGTCCTCTGAGGGCATTGCATGACATGGGTGCACTTATCCACATGCAGACAATACACACACATAAAATAATAAAAAAATGAAAAATATAAATAAACAAAAAAAGAAAAGAATGTAACAATAGTTCATGAATTGGGAGAGAATGTGAGGATGTCAGATCCCCTGAAATTAGAGTTACAGATGATTGTTAGTTGCCATGTAGGTGCTGAGTATTGAACCTGGGTCCTCTGCCAGAGCAGCCAGTGCTCTAAGTAAGCCACCTCTACAGCTCCCATTTCCCATTTTTAGTTGGATTGTCTTTTCACTTAGCTGTAAGAATTCCTATGTCTTCTTCAAGTTGGCTTACATTTTTCAAGATTCACCTGTATTGCATCAGGTACCAGTATTTGATTCCCTTTAATTGCTTTACAGTATTTCTGTGTGTACACTGTGTTCATCCCTTCTTCCACAGGGAGACATCTGGGCTGTTTGTGCTTTGGCAGCATTATGAATAATGCTCAAGTGAACATTCATGAACTCATTTGGTGGATGTGTTTTTATTTCTCCTGCATATACACTGAAGAATAAGATTGGTGGACCATACAGTGACACTTGACAGTCTGAAGAACTTTGCAAAATGGCCACACCATTTAATTTTCCCACAAGCAGTGCTCAAAATTATAAACTCTCCACATCTTTGCCAACTCTTGTTATTATCTGTCATATTTCATTTTAGCCACTCAAGTGAGCAGTGGTATTTCATTTTTGTTTCAATTTGCATATCTAATGATAAACAACATTGGGCGTCTTTCATGATTTTATTGACCATGTGTAACTCTATACAGAAATCCCTATTCAATCCATTTCCCTTTTATTTTTTATGTGTATGAGTGTTTTGCCTGTGTGTATGTAAGTGCATGTTTGTGCAGTGCCTGTAGAGGCCAGAAGAGGGTGTCAGATCACCTGAAATTGGAATTATAGATGTTTGTTAGCTGCCATGTAGATGCTGGGTACTGAACCCAGGCCCTCTGGAAGAGCCACTAGCATTCTTAATCCCTGAGCCATCTCTCCAGCCCCTCATTTATTAATTTGTTTTATTTGTATTACATTTAAAAACTTTTATTTATGGGGGAGGGTGTGTCACAGCAAATGTGTGGAGTTTGGAGGACAACTTGTGGGAACTGGTTTTGTGATACCTGTAAGGCTGAAATCAATATCCAGAAGATGTCCCAGGAACTCCCAAATACTTGGAAATTAAACAACTATATATAAGAGCAATTCAAGAACAATTTGAGCAGACTTAAATGAAAGCAAATCATAGCAAACCATGTAGCATACAATGAACACTGTTTGGAGTTGTATAGTCAGAGTAACCACTAGCCATGTGAAGCTATTGAAATTTAAAATTATATTAAAATTCACTTCTTAGGGAGAGTCACTGAATAGGGGATCCTGCTGTATTATCACAAAATCAACATTTCCATTGTTGCTGAGTGTTCTCCTGGCCCATGCTTGCTTAGCTGTATGTGTAATACCTTAAATGTCTACATTCATAGGCCAGTTGTGGTAGCGCATGCCTTTAGTCCCAGCACTCGGGAGGCAGAGGCTGGCAGATGTCTGGGAGTTCAAAGCCAGCTTGGTCTACATAGTGAGTTCCAGGCCAGCTAGGGCTACAGGGAAAGCCTGTCTCAAAGAACACAAAAACAACAAAATACTAGAAGGTGCTAGAGTATCTGTAATATCCATGCTGGGGAGAAAGAAAGAAAGAAAGAAAGAAAGAAAGAAAGAAAGAAAAAGAAAGACAAAAATAACAAAACCGATCTAAGGAAAAAAAGTTTACTGATTAAAAAGTATGACTGTAGGACTACTGGTGAGATGACTCAGCAGATAAAGGTGCATGTCACCAAGCTTGATCTGAGTTTGATCCCTGGGCCTCACATAGTGGAAGGAGAGAATCAGCTCCTGAAAATTATCCTCTGACCTCTAGATACACAACCCACATACACACAGAGCACTCACACAAATAACTAAGACAAAATTTTTAAAACTATATTTGTAAAAATATATGGAATCTTAAGGCACTGCTTATATCCAAAATAACCTTGAAAAAGTTGTTTCGTGGTTCCTGATATTTGAGTTGTGTACATAGTATAGTGCTTCAGTAATCAAAACTATGGTAGTGGCATAAAGACATCCACTGTACAGAACAAGGAGCCTTGAAATAAAGCCTTAAGTGCGTGATCTTTTTTTTAGTAAAAAATTTTGTGTGTGGTTTTTTGGAGACAGAGTCTTTGTAGCACCAGCTGGTCTGGAACTCACTACATAGACCAGGCTGGCCTCAATCTCACAGAGACCTACCTGTCCCTGCCTCCTAAGTGGTGGGATTCAAGGTGTGTGCCACCATGCCTGGCAAATGCATGATATTTGATTAGTGTCAGGGTCCAGGCTGGAGAGATGGCTCAACACTTAAGAGCACTGGCTGTTCTTGCAGAAGACTCAGGTTCAAATCCCAGCACCCACATGACGACTAGCAATCATCCAAACTCCAGTTCCAAAGGATTTGACACCCTCGTCTGTCCTCTGTGGACATTGCATTGCAAGGATGCACACACACGTAGGCATAACAATCACACACTTAAAAGAAAAGTGTCAGGATCACTCAGTGGGACAAGACTGTCTTTTAACAAATGGCCTCAGGAAAACTCAATCTCTGTATGCAGATGAATGTAGTTGGACCTTTTACATGATAAACATATGAATTCAAAATAGATTAAGGACCTAACCGAGACTTAAGATATAAAACTATACTCTTAGAGGAAAATGCAGGCGAGACGCTACTTACAGAATATTTAGTAATGATTTTTTTGTATGTGATATCAAAAATCACATGTAACAAAAACAAACATGGAAAAATAAGATTGCATTGAAGTAAAAATCTGCGAGTCAGGTACACTGCTCTGTGTGTGTGTGTGTGTGTGTGTGTGTGTAGTACCAGCATTCAGAAGGCTAAGGAAGAAGGACTGTTTAAGCTCAGGATTTTGAGGCCAACCTGAGCAACACGAGATCTCAGTTCAGAGAGCAAACAATAAGCCAAAACCCCAAACCAAAAAGCAGAAAAACCAACCAAATAAAAAAAGCTCTTTGTGCAGCAAAGGAAAACAGAGTGAAAAAGCAGCATACGAATGAGAGGAAATATTTACAAGATGCTAATACCCTGAGTGTATCAAAAAATTGTATCTCAACAACATTAACAAAAGCCAAATAGCCGTAGCTGGGCCTGGCGGCACACACTTTTAACCCCAGCACTTGGGAGGCAGAGGCAGGTGGATCTCTGAGTTTGAGGCCAGGCTGCCTGGTCTTCATAACGAGTTCCAGGCCAGCTGGACTATAGTGAGACCCTGTCTCAAAAAGACCAAAAAATAAAAAATAACCCCCCCAAACCCAAACAACCCATTGAAAGCAAGAAGGGTTTGGGGGTGTAACTCAGGTTTAGCATGTGTGAGGCTCTGTGCTGGTTAATCCTCAGGAAAGCAAAAAAGAACAAACAATTTGAGTAGGAGAGAAAGAGAAAGCAGGGAGCTGACATGTGGCTCAGTGGTAGAGTGCTTATCTACCAGGGAGAGGTCCTGGATTTCATCTCCAGCATCAAAAAAGAGGAAGAAGAAAAAAATGATAGGCATATGTCAAAAAATGATGGGTTGCATGTCAGTGTATAACTCAGAGAGCTTTTTTTTTAATTAAAATTTTTTTTTTGTTAACATTACTTAAGCAATAACATTATTACATTAAAAAATTCTGTATAGCTTGAAGAATTTGGAAAGGGAATGAATGACAAGCTCACATTACAGCCACAGTGATACATTTCACAGTATTGTTGAAGCTTTGCCAGTACAAAATACTCAAAAATTATAGTAGTCATACAGAAAGTACACTATTAAATACAATTACATATTTAAAAAATTATTTATTATTTTTATTTTATGTGTATGTGTGTATTGCCTGCATGTAGGTAAGTGCACCCCTGTTGTGCAATGCCTATGGAAGACAGAAGAGGCTGTCGGCTCCCCTGGAACTGGAGTTACAGATAGTTATTAGATGCCATGTGGGTGCTGGGATTTGAACCTGGGTCTTCTGCAAGAAAAACCAGTGTTCT